AGGCTGCCCAGGGAGGGGGTGGAGTCCCCATCCCTGGCTGTGTTTAAGGGCCGTTTAGATGCAGTGCTGAGGGACATGGTGTAGGGGAGGACTTTGTAGAGTAGGGGAGATGGTTGGACTCGATGATCCCAAGGGTCTCTTCCAACCTCAATGATTCTATGATTCTATGAAAAAAGGCAGGTGGCCAAGTGTCCCCAGGTCTGGTTCGGTGGGGAAGGTCCCATCTTTGATAGGACCGACAGTGTGGTGTTTGTTTATTTTTTATTTATTTATTTTTTTTAGTGAAAGGACAAGGGGTAACAGTTTTAAATTGGAAGAGGGGAGATTTCTATTAGATACCAGAAAGAAATTATTTACAGTGAGGGTGGTGAGAGCCTGGCCCAGGTTGGCCAGAGAAGCTGTGGCTGCCCCATCCCTGGAGGGGTTCAAGGGCAGGTTGGAGGGGCCTTGGAGCAACCTGGTGTGGTGGGAGGTGTCCCTGCCCAGGGCAGGGGGGTTGGAACTAGATGATCTTTGAGGTCCCTTCCAACCCAAACCATTCTATGATAACTCCTGCTGCTCCCTTCACTTGAGCACAGCAAAGACACACTGCTGGGCTCACGCTGGCAAAGGCAGTCACCCAGGGACCTGGAGCTGCAAAATATGACGGTAAAGGGGAAAAAAAGTCTTCCTCCAGCTGCTGTGGAGAGCTGGGCAGTGGGTCGGCCTGCTTGGAAGTCATTGCTGATGGGAGGAGAGGTAAAGGGCAGAGCTGGAGAGAGATGGAAGCCAAGGAGCTGGTAGAGTTAAAGAGGTAAAAAGATCTCCCCATCCCTGGAGGGGTTCAAGGGCAGGTTGGAGGGGGCTTGGAGCACCCTGGTGTGGTGGGAGGTGTCCCTGCCCAGGGCAGGGGGGTCAGAACTTTATGATCTTTAAGGTCCATCCAACCCAAACCGTTTTATGATTCTATGACTTCATATTTCATTTTCCCTTTGGTTTCTCCTAGGTGCAGCCAATGCAAAACCGTCTTCCACCGGGACTGCCAGGCCCGTGCCAGGTCGTGCCCGCGCTGCGAGCGCCGGCAGAGGTACCAGCGGGAGCTGGAGGCAGAGCCCAGTGCCCAGCCCAGCCTGTAGCACCCGGGGAGCCCCCGGTGACACTGTCCTCCTGGGCTCCTCCACCAGCCAGGACTAGTGCCAAAGGGAAGGGGCCAGTGGGAGGGGGCGAAAAGACCCCCCCCCTGCCCAGGAGCCATCCTGCACCCAGCCCTTCCCCACGCTGGGCGATGCGGGTGCTCCTGCCCCACGGAGGGACCCTCTGCCCAGCCAGGGCTCAGCAAGAGGGGGGCTGGAAGGGTGTCCCCCCCCAACTTCCCTCCTCACACTAACCCGGTGCTGCTGGGGGGGGGCTGCTCCCAGTCCCCCTCCTGGTGCCAAACTGGTACGTCCCCTCCCGCTGGAAGCCCCGGCGCCTTTTCCAGGGTGTCGAGGGGGGGGCTGGAAGGGTGTCCCCCCCCTCACCTCCCTCCTCACACTAACCCGGTGCTGCTGGGGGGGGCTGCTCCCAGTCCCCCTCCTGGTGCCAAACTGGTACGTCCCCTCCCGCTGGAAGCCCCGGCGCCTTTTCCAGGGTGTCAATCAGGATTTCCAATCGAGGGTGGCGATAACTGACATTTGATTAAAACTCTAGTTTTTTAGGATGTTGGATACTGAAAAACCAGTATTTTTTTACGTGGGGGGTTTTTTTGCACAAGCCGGCCTGCTCCGG